CATCCATCATAATATATCTGGGGAGCTCAACGACTCGGAGACTTAACGGTAAACTCTTTAAACGGGAGTATCTGGCATCTGATCCTAACGCAGCACATCTACGTATGTTTTTGCTGGAGGTCTCAAAAGGTGAATGCATTTGCCTGATAGAAGAGATTAATTGAACTATTCTGACTGAACGCACAAAGGAACACACAAGTTGAATTGGATAAAAAATCAAATAATACGGGGAAATACATGTTAGACTATCCAACTGCTTACAACTTATCATTTTATTATTAGTTTAATTATTAATATATTTACTATGGAACTAAATATTATAAATGTTTTTTTTTTTGTTTTGTTTTTTATTGAAAACAACTATTAAATGACTTACTTCTATAATCCTTGCTCGTTTAACCACGTTTAACATTGTTTGCTAATGTAGCGAAGAAATGACACTGGTCATCAAGCCGAATCCAAACCTGGAAACGAAAGCGAATCAAATGCCACCATGACGTTGTCGCCTATAGCTGTACTGTATGCGTACGTTGTTAAGTTCCTTAACGATTCCCATCTCCGGACGAAGATTTGTTTGATCGTAACTAGCTCGTAAGTCACTTTTCTATATTCCATTTATTTCATTCGTAATAATTAAATTCCCAAAGTCAGTATTATCCACCTTGTCAACCTTCTAGAGTTTATTTATTTTGAGCTACAGTCAAATTTCTAATTTTGGTGACACCTCTGAGATTCGTTAAAAAGAAAATCAAAATGGCAGCTTTCGAGGCAAAAGAACGTGAAGTTGGGGCAATAAAACACATTGTTATTATTATTTCTAGAATTTACTCAGATTCAGTAGATGTTTAGAAAGTTCCACAGTGCGATCACCATCGTTACCCGGTAATCGCTTCCAGCATGTTTCCCTGCTGTTGACCTTTTTTCTATAAGGTCATTGCCATGCGTTCAGTGAGAAGGTTTAGCAGGTGAAAACAACGTAGCCTTGGGCCTCATTACAAGTCTGTCAACCGATTCGATGAGACTGAAATATAACTATGAGTAAACAAACTAAGCGGGTACATAGTTCGGTAGCGTAACATAATCGGATGCGACGATTACATTTCATTTTTTTTAATTTATTAACTTTACCGTTACTAGGGTACGCATCGTGGAAGCAGAGAATGTGACATGTTTAAAATGAGACTTGATGTTATGGTTATGTAGTAACCAGGGAATTCATTCATAAATGTGTTCATTGATTAACAACGCACATATATATCATTGCTCTAATGTAATCGGATGCTACGGCCCCATTGTACTTACGCCAGGTATACTATATGGCGCGTTCCAGTTGGGTAATAAGTTGTCATGCGATTGTCATTCAGTAGCAATTTAACTCTTCACTGGGGACAAAACTATTGTTACGAACCGTTATTTGCAAGAAGAGGCCCCTATAGGTTGTGATAAATCTAGTTTCAAAAAATCGGTATTTAAGAAAAAGTCCGCTATTAGACATTACGTGAGCGCTTTTGGAAAGTCGTCATTTTGTTGTCGGAACAACATTTAGTCTCTGTTGTTCTTTGGCACTTCGCCTCAATACTCCGCCTTTTTATTATTGCTAGCGTTTCCCGGGAATAAAACCCCATGCGAATTTAAACGTCGGAAGCGCCAGTGAACATTATCTTAATAGAGCTTTGTAAGTCGTAGAAGACCAATTACAATCTATATTCTAGGACAAATCAGTCTATTCATCTCACCTAGCCGTATACAGTCTACGGCGCATGCTTTCAGGGCTCTCGCATTGTGGCGGGAAATAGCAACGTAATCAGGATTTGCGAAACTAAATTACATCTAAATTTAGCAATTTTGTTAAGTTGCGAGCAGTGAATGAGGCAATGTATAACCCACCACTCACCTATTGAAAAGAACAATAACGAGAACAAGCAGACTCGAAGAGCTCAAAATCGGATGCAACTAGTCCATGCCATCTAACGTTTCCACCCCTCCGACCGTCTGAACTGCACGGATCGCTAAAGGTACACCGCCAAGCACGTGGTGTTGGCAAGATATATTGGAGGTTATTCATTACGGCAATATCCACAGAAAAACAAATCTGTCAACAAAACTCGTGAGATATCCAACAGCGTTATAAAATTAAAATATCAAAAACGTTAATTTTATAACATACCACTTGTTTATTACTTTATAAATGGAAAATATATATCAAGTCAATTAGGGAGTCTCTAAACACGTATATCGTTTTGGAGAGGTCCCTTGCGGTTTCAGGTAAAATAGTTCGGGTACGTGGAAACGATCAGTCGACGGGTGTTGCGGCACGCATAAAAAAACAAACGGCGTTGACACGGAAAACCTGACAAAATCACGAATGAGTACGATTATAAAAGCGTTTTTTTTTAGCTGTCAATATCCGTGACGTTGATCGTATTAGTGTATTTGTATTTCCACGAAAGCTTGGAATACTAGTATATTATAAAAGGCAGGCAAATTAACCGGCCTCTCCGGATAATGTGTACACGTGTATGGTTTATTTATTTTATGTATTCAACGTACTGATGTTATGGAAGAATTTAGCGTCAGCGCAACTAACCTGTATTTACAACCCGACACGACAGTTCAGGTTCTTGTAGAGTCATTATTTTCGGGAATCATTACCCCCCCCCCCCCGCCCATTTCTTACCTTCATACTAAGCTGTAAATAGTTTTATCAATATTTGAGTTAACAGTGACGAGGGATTATACGAAGAAAACATGAACGTATGGTGAACCCCTGACTCGCGCATAGCAAAATTTCATTTGAAATTCCCGAAGAAAATGGATACTATTGAAAATTGACACTCTCGTGGTGACACACCCGAAGGAGCACTAATTCGGAATACATCATACGTAACACTAACGATTCGTTATTGTGAAGCCTGCGTTTAACGCATCAATTCAAATACACACCTATACTTGCTTAATTCAATTTTCCTATTCTGCAAAAATCTAAGCCAATTGCGAATTGTTGACTTGGACGGATCACTCTGGCGACCCTTAAACGGCCTCCGCGGAGACTTACGGAAGCGAATTAAAACTACCAAGCCTTTATGTTGAAGAGAATAGCGCGATCTGCGCATAATCGGAAAGCTAAGACAATGAAATGCTTCTATAAAAGCCTGGGAAACTAATGGGTTTTGAATGTACCTCATTAGAAGTCGCATTTCTTTTGATTTGCTTTGTTCATTTTTTCCCCGAGACGAGCGACTTAATAGTGAGGTCTATTTCACGGGGGCGATAAGCTACCGTGTTTATGAGGGACGAAGATGCCGGAGAAAATGCCACTGCGCATGACCAGAATGACGTTGTATTTGTCCACGTGCGTCAAGTACCGTGTATTAAGTGAAACATCAAAAACGCTTGACATCTCGTTGATGAATGATGGGCAGAACAAACTACAACAACACGCGTCAAAAAAAAGTTGTCATATTAACATGTAATAATGATGACATGTACATGTGGAGTCATGGTAGCTTGTTCAATTACAGTCACCGAACATGTATAAACCTGACCAAGCGATAAGCATTCAAAAGATTACCGTTGGTGCCTATAACTATAATTATCCCACAACAACAGCGAAAGCAACACATTATATATAGTACAAAATATGTAATTGCATATTGTGGAGGTTTCATAGTCGGAAAACACACGTTGAAACTGTTACAATTTTTCGGTCAGAAAAATTAGGTAAATGTTAAATACATCGTTTCTTATATTGGCTATATGCGAGATAAATTACATATGATACGAAATATTTCATTTTCTGTACATTGGTGTTTGATTTAAATGTTCGCTGCCTCGTGAAGATCAGCATTGTGAAAGCTCAACAGTTGGTTCATCAGTTCAGTTCAATCTTAAGCGATCAGTGTATTCTTGTTATCGATAAGTAATAGAACGTATTGAAAATCAGGCCACATCGTCCTCGTGATTCGAATCGTTATACATATTCTTACAGCGATACCCAACTGTGTTATTTACTTGAGTTTGAAATTCAACGGCATTAACAGTATAATTGTATCAAGCTCTGCACGTTCCGTGTAGTCACCGGTAATTGTGACGTTATATGTGTCGCCCTGATAGGGAATGTAACCCCTGTCTTCAGAAAAAGAGAAACACATTTACGGCTACTTTCGCTCATGAATTATTTTCACCCATGCATTCACATATTCAATTAGTGTTCGATGAATGTGTTCCTAACTATGCAATGTTTTGAATATTGATACATTTCACTGTGTCCTAGGAATTGCCCGAATCTTACTCAAAGCATTTGGTTGTAAAAAATAAACTTAAAAGACAATTGACAATCGTAGCTCGTTTTTGTACATGAAGTGTTCGCAAGACGGTACTAATATAAGAAACAACAGTCACAGACCACATCACTCGACCGTAAAATTGGATTTGAATGATAATTCGAAAACGACAGAATGATTTTTTATTTATTATATTGATTTGAAAATGTTCCTGATTAGATCTTAAAGTCGATTAGAAATGTAAACGCGTGTCGTATGCAGAGAGACGAAGCAGCACCACATTTGGATATTTTACATACATTAGTCAAACAAGTATCGAAAATGAAGCATTAAATACAAAATACACCGAAATGATTTTTTCTCACAGTAGATGCATCCAATTCAATACCACGCCGTAATTGCGACTTACTGTGGCGTAAAGGTTACGATACGAAACAGGTATTTGTGATAAGAGAGAGAGAGAGTGTGCGGCCAGATTGGGTGGTTATTAAGAATCTTATACGATACCTGTGTATTAGAACGCATTTAACCATGCGTCACTCAGAAAGCAGAAATTAATTATTAAATGACGACGTACTTATTTTCGCGACTTTCTTTCCACTGTAAGTACATGTTCCTGATAACCTAGTCACAGTTAACACGCCGTCTTCCACAATGTCGCAGCCAGGTTCTTGTTCATCGGTGATTCGGAGATGACGCCGCACTCGTACGTATTCGTCACTTGCATTGTACTATTTTTCTGAAGGCTCGGTTGAAGTCGCGGTTGAAAATTGTGTATATGACAGGGTTCAGTGCGCTGTTGCAGTAACCGACCCAAAAGAAAAACTTGAAGAGTAACTCTGGAATATTGCACACTTTGCAAAGCGCAAAGACAACATACAGTTGGAAAAAAGGGTACCACATTAAAAGAAATGTACCCATAATGACACCCAACACGAATGTTGCTCTGCGTTCCTTTGCCTGTGCCACTTTTCGTTTCTGCCTCTCCGTGTCCGCAGCAAGGTTATGACTTCTAGCTATGATGTTATGGTTGGTTTGCTGATTCGACTTCTTCAGCTGTAATACCTGGACCATTGGTAGTTTTTTGTTCTGCGAGGAATTGGTGGAGTTTTTATCGTTGTACTCATTTATGGTAGTGATCGTGGTAGGTTCAATGTCAGTGACTGATATTCCGCCTCGTGTACTTATTCCAGGACTGGACGGGCTCGAGGTCGTAACGTCATCCGCCGATATTTTCTGATAGTCCCTTCTTTTCATTGGAATTTCATGTTTATTTTTATTGTTCTCAGTTTTCGTCTTGTCCGTATGTTTTGATCTCTTTTCAACTTTCCCCATCCTCAATGACGTCCGGGCTCTGTGTTTCGCGGCGTACCAAATGCGGATGTAAACGACGATCATGACGAATGCCGGCACAAAGAACGAGCCACTTGTAGAATATAATATATATCCGGTATCTTCGCTTAATAAGCAAATCGGGTAAATGGGGTCGGCTGGTTCGTCAGACCGCCAACCGAACAGCGGTGGTATTGATATTATTCCCGATAGAATCCACACCGATGCAATCATGAATGCTGCACGGCGCGGCGTGCGACGTTTCGCATATTCCAGCGCCTGGGTGATGGACCAGTAGCGGTCGAGGCTGATGAGGCAAAGGTTGAGTATAGATGCTGTGCACGCCATTACGTCCATCACGAGCCATATATGACACCACCATAAGCCGAAAATCCAATAGCCCATCAACTCGTTAGTAATACCAAAAGGTATAATCAACACGCCTACCATCAAATCACTGACAGCAAGCGACAACAAGAACCAGTTCTGAATGCCTTTCAGCGAGCGTTCTCTCAATATCGCGATACAGACGAGCGTGTTACCGAACACAATACCGAATACAAGAATAATTGTGAAAATGGCTGCCAGTATTATGCGTTCCCCGGTGTAGCCGCTTGGTGGGTATGGACTGTCAAACACCGGTGTTGTCACATTCCAATCCTCCGTCGTTATAGTCGCGTGTGTATCATTGCTACGTAAAACCTCGGTATACGACCGCGAGTTATTTGTAAATAGTATGGGCAAGGCAGTGTTATTAATTGTTATACCTGCCGTCGACATATTGCACTGAATGAGCAGGGCCTTGTATCTGTGACTGTAAGTAACCTTATCACAACGGCGACAGTAATGTAAACAAGAAAGCAAGAGGCAACTAGTGAAAAGTTTACGTCTAAGAAAAGGACGTGCCTGTAAACCAGCTGACTTCAACGCCCGATACTACGTACGCTGGTGGTTTCGCGTTATATCACGCTGTTCAATTGAGATGTGAATGGAATTGCACAGAAATGGAATGTAACTTCTTACCGTATCAACGCGAAACTCGTATTGTGAAGGCAGCAACGTCAGAATTCACAACATGTGTATGTACAGTGACTTTGAGGTATACCAGGTAACACACACACGAACGTCCATACGCACGATACAATCCGAAAGTTGAAACGTTCAGCTATCCATCGCTGTGGAATTCAACGCACGCGAAGGTTGCGGAGACAAACTGAAGGAACACTATATGCGTTCAGCGGTATGAAGCGATGAAAACGGAATGACTCAACCGTATTGTCCGGCGTCAGGTACACCAACTCCATACAGGGAGTCCAATGTGTGCGTGTGCGATGATGTCGGAACGTGATCTCTGCACCCGGGACTCCAACGATGTTACTCGATAGACAGGCGTTAGTCAATAGAAAGAGTCGACTAGCATCGCGGTATTTAAAGCCCACAGTTTAATTGGGTGCTCGCTTACAAAATGTGTTGACGTGTACGCAGTAAAGTCCACTGTAGCTGTTGGCTGTGTGCTGCGAATGGCTAATTCCGTGTGACACCCCATATCAATGTCACCGGCACACTTTCCATGCCTTACTACAGCGTCCACTAAATTGATGTAGATGGGATCAAAGTGAGGCTTTCAACATAATCAAAATCTCAATTCAGTGACAGCAAATTACAGCTCATTTGGGCTGAATTACAGGTGCACGCTCATTGGTCGGGTGTTTCACTCCCATGGTACCTCGCTATGCAAATGCTGTGTTTGAACGAATTGTGACGTGATTCCGAGTTTGCCTGAGTGGCAGCATTCGATGGAGGCGAAGCTCCGCCGTCGTTATAGTAACCACGGAATGCTTTCCGCAATGACCATATGAAGAGCGCCATCATATTCTGATAGCGACTTATTTATTTTCAAATGTCACTTATAGAAACTCGCTGTTATCGACGCATGTCGCGATGTATTTTTTGTTTGTGATGGCAAACATAGTCTGTATTCAATCTTATAGTTATTTCACAACAGAACACGTTATCAATTGCATATAAAATTGCATATTTTATAGATAGTGAAATTTACGCAACAAATCGCTATATATATATATCAATTTACAAAACAAATCGCATCGCCTAAATTGTGTCAATCATGACAGTTGTCCCTCAGCGTGAAAGGCCATGGGACTTTTGTAACATGATCTAAAAACAATATAACGCAATTTCAAATCTAATTAAGTGAAACGCATTATATTTTTTTCCTTGTCTAAATTTGTTTTTACAAAACAGCATTGTTTTTTTTTTCAGAAGGGAGTTATCATCGTCGTACGAGTCTTGGCGTTATCAGGCTTAATTGTACTTGCCCAGAAAAACATACATTTAGTAGAATTCGTGCTTATATCCTTGGGAATGTATGTTTGTTGTTTTCATCGTAAGAATGGAGGGGGTAAGCAATTTACGCAAGTATGACAATGTCAGAAATTATTTATATGAATAACCTTGGACCCACATTCCCATTAGGATGGTACGTGTATATATCAAGGAAAACAACTATATTTTAATAATGTAATAAAATTGTTATACTAGTGAAAACACCACCCGCCATCCTGCTCGCTCGGAGATATTATTACTCACAACTATACAATCTATATTACTCGACTTTTAAGTGCACTAGGGACATTCCTGCACATTGTTACGTAATTCTTATATGTAATTATATAAATGATCCATAGTAAGACAAATACATATACATGTGTAGTGTTGACACTAATCTCCCCATATTCGTGGCACAATCATAACCAAAGCGGTTCGACCACCGAACATTGCTGTATTACCACATCGACTTGATATATTCAGTACACCAGTAACATCACATCCGCCATTAAAATGGTTTATTTCATTTGAATTCCAGCGGCCTTTTGGGGGAGACTTCATCTAAGTCTTTGTTTAATTGGTTAATTAAATATTGTTTTATTTTCTAGATTGCCCAATATTATTTAAGCACTTATGAAATCATAAGGTTTTTGATATGGCGACAGATGTTTTATTTGTCTGAATCTTGCATATGGAAGGACATGAAATATTTATTACAATATTTTCATATTACAACGAGCCAATGACCTAACTTGATGAAACGTTGTCTCCGGTATTTCTGTTTAATTGTTTTTTTTGTATGAATACACTGATCAGTGCGGACTTAAATTGCGAGAAACGTCTGGCCTTGTGGGCACCGTTGACTCTATTGCCAACTTCTGCCAAAGCCGTTTTCATTTACCCAGATTATGGCGTAATTCCGGGGATTGCTTGAAATGAATCGATACGAGGTCATTCACTTCACAAACAAAATACAACACTTAATTAAGATGATTGTTCATATATTCGTAATTTTTATGGCAATTAATTGTGACGCAGAATGAATAATTTGAATAATTAATCACAATCATTCGTTATATAAATACATAATCAACGGATCATTATTCATGCCGGCGAGGCTCAGTATATTGCTTTTTTTTCACCAAAATTGCAAACATATGAATGAAATTTCCAACAATCTGCCGTCTCTTTCCCGTCGTTCGTTATTACTGCGAGTTAGCTCCACTTTGTGAGGACGCCTGCCTTTGTTTGTAAAATCCACGTAAAACCGTACATTGAAGTAGTAGGAATTAGGGAAATATGAATAATCCGTGCAATGACAAATACGAGGCCTTGTTTATGTCGCTTAACTGAATAATAATAATAATGTAAATTCTCGCACGTTTCGGATGTATGCGTTTTTGAACAAGCGTGGATTAAAAAGGAAAACGTGAAAATGGGGTACAATAAAGTTAAGCTGATAGAATAGACGTAGCTATTAGGAAACAAATGTTTCATAGTGTGTATTGTTGTGAAAATATATTGTGCACTTATACAAGGTTCAATCGAGTAAATGTATATTGAAGTGCACTGTAGCTTAAAATATGAATATGAATTCAGGAATCAGCATTATTAAGCAAATCGGGCATATCACGTCTACGTGTTTTCATTTTTCCAGTCTTGAAGAGGTCGACAACCTACTTGGTATGGCCGTGACAGGTAACACGTTGAAAGGCATGCCCAATAACCTTCCCGCACAACGAGACACAGGAGGCGAACATATTTGACGTCAACAAAGTCATAGAAATAGACATTCTTGGCCGAAAAGGCCAAGGACCGACGCAAGTAATGTACTTGTACTTATGCCCGTCGCTTAGTCTAATTAGCGACACATGCATTTCTCCGGAAGGACTTCAACTGTTTTTTTTTTGTCAAAAAAAAAGAAAGAAAGAAATTAAATAGCTGTGTATGAGACGTGACATTCATGGGAACAAATTGCTTTCGTCAACTCTGCGTGACCAGAGGAAAACAGTAAGTCATCATTACGCTATGGGTTTTGTTCAAAGTTGTCATTTACCAGTCTACACAAATAAACGAATATCTGACAATTATGTCGCAATGGCTCAAGAACACGCAATGGGTTCAGTTTCAAATTAATTTTCGTCACATCTATATACGAATTTTACGAGTGCAATATCTACTATATAATAATTACCATCACCACTTTCGTTATTAATACGTACCATTTATGTCCATTTCCCTCCACTTTCAGCGTTGTTTCATTACCAATATTCATTATTTCAAATAGTACTTTCACACAAATCACAAATCTGATTACTTAATGTTATTTTTCTTATCACTGATAAAGTACGGCTGCACTTTATCTATGGAGTTCTTCCACATGATCAATATGGGCTCGCAAAATGTTTCTCAACCAAGATTGGAAACATGTATTTCCAATACCAATTGTCATGCTACCGTGTTTAATACCAGAATTTAATATAATATCAACTGTATGCTAAAACAAAAACGCTCAATTGCAAACATTTTCTTCTTTTACGTCGTTTTGCAATTACAAGTATGTAGCCAGCGGTTTTCTGATTTTAATTGCCCATTTCCCGCAGCAGTCGCAATGCCTTTTATGTTTCTAACAAATACGCTATAAAAAGGAAGGTGCTTTTACAAGTACCATCACCACAAATTGAGTGATTATTTTTTTTTTGCAATGTGGTAAAGTAACAGTGTGGCATATCTTCTAGGCGATATGTGTAGATGTCTGAAGCTCTCAAGGTGTGCCGAATTGGCGTCATCGTAATACCTTCAATATTTCATGTCCCTTTCACTTGCAGATAATTCGTGAAGAATCAATAATTAAGAAGCTATGTAACCGACATGAAAAAGAGACCCTTAATGGAGTTGCTACGCTCACTGATACATCGTTTAGAAAGCATTGTCTCCTCCAAACGTAACCGACTTTTTTCACTATTTAAATATTTAGTCTGTCTGACGTCTCCGTTGGTGGATTAATTGAGAGTGACCGTCCTATAATATAGGACAAGGTCCCATTAGCGCTATACACGATGTATTGTCGGCGACTGTAAAGTCTAGTCGGAGTAGAGAGGAGGTCATAATCTAAGAAGATGTACTTCAGTCGGTAACTTTCCAAGGATACCCAGGTTATTGTTTTTGCGCTGAGTTTGGTCATCCATTAACACTATTTCGCAATTTAGCGGCGTTATTGGGGCACTTCGAGAATAGTTGCTAAACGAATGACAAACGCATGGGTATTTAGCTCGTAACAAATCTTATCAATTTCAATGTCAATCAATAACTACATTTCATCAAATGAACCAAAGGAATGTAGTTCATATAACAGATTAATAGCTGCTCACGAAATGTGACAACTGGCAGAATAACGCGCAGTTTGTTGATCATGTAATTTGTTTCCACTCTGG